AGCCGGACGCTTAACCGACTGCGCCACCCAGGCGCCCCTTAATGAGAGTCTTAATAAGCTCTCTTTAGAGTCCGAGCTGTTCACCTGTCTTATGTGCTATTTATTTCACCACTTCTGCAATAATTTGTCAAAGAGCAGGAGAATGAAATTTATAGTTTATGCTAGGGTAAGGGAAGATAAGCCACAGCCTACAGCCTGTTGAGTGCCATTTAATGGCATTTCACTACTCATTCTTTTTTTTTTTTTTAATTTTTTTTTTTAACGTTTATTTATTTTTGGGACAGAGAGAGACAGAGCATGAACGGGGGAGGGGCAGAGAGAGAGGGAGACACAGAATCGGAAACAGGCTCCAGGCTCTGAGCCATCAGCCCAGAGCCTGACGCGGGGCTCGAACTCACGGACCGCGAGATCGTGACCTGGCTGAAGTCGGACGCTTAACCGACTGCGCCACCCAGGCGCCCCTTCACTACTCATTCTTGCACATCCTTAATATGCACCTGTTTCCTTTATTATCCCCTTTCCTCTTCTTTCTTTTACTTTTTTTTCTGTCTCTTTTAATTCTTCTTCCTTACTTGTAACATCTACGGAGGCTATCTAGATCAAAAACAAAAACATTGGAGAAACCCATACGACGACATAAGGGGTTTAACCCTTTCTGCATATTTTTCTTATTCACTGGCCCTTTCAATGGAGTAGTAACAGTTCAGTAAGTCCTGAATTTGGTGGCATATTTACAACCAGTATTAATCAATAGAGCCATTTGATTCTTGTATGCCTTATAAAATCTTGGATAACACAATATCCATTCTACTACAGACATTATATTTTGTAAGTAATCTGTACACGGGGCTTGAATTCATGTCCCCAAGATCAAGAGTTGCATGCTCGGGATGCCTGGGTGGCTCAGTCAGTTAAATGTCCAACTCTTGAGGGGCACCTGGGTGGCTCAGTTGGTTGAGTGTCCGACTTTGGCTCAGGTCATGATCTCATGGCTAGTGAGTTCGAGCCCTGTGTTGGGCTCTGTGCTGACATCTCGGAGCCTGGAGCCTGCTTCAGATTCTGTGTCTCCCTCTCTTTGCCCTTCCCCTGCTTGCACTCTGTATCTCTCTCTCTCAAAAATAATAAATAAACATCAAAAAACTTTTGAAGAAAAAAAATGTCCAACTCTTGATTTCAGCTCAGGTCATGATCTCAGGGTCGTGAGATGGAGCCCTGTGTCTGGCTCTGTGCTGACAGCAAGGAGGCTTCT